AAAATACCATGATTACAAATGTGACATTGAATTCAATAAACAATAAGTTAATTAAGAGACTTACGTTTTAGACACCATATTGCTTGTTCTTGCTCTTTCGCCAACAAAAATCATTCCGAATATAGCCACAGCGCTGTTTTGTGTCTCTGAGCATCATGACGGTGTTTCGTTCTTGAATGAATCAACCGTTTAAATGATTCGGGTTCAATCGCAATGACTCTCTTATTAAACGTGATCTGCTGGCGGTTTTAATTTCAAATTTCTGCTTTTTTTTTTCTTTTCTTCTTTCTTTTTTTGATTTTTTTCATGTTTTAAATCATTTCAAATATCAGTATTCAACATTTTATGTTTAATATATCAAAACATTACTTATGCGTTTGTAATTGTAGGTTAAATGCATTCATGTCTTGCATTAAACAAAATACATGTGTGTAAATACATCTAAATGCCGCTTCAGATGCAGCTTCTGTGTTGATTTAATTTGCTTGGTAACAGCCCAAATGTCTTATTATTCTAATTCACTGAATAAATGTAAGAATTTGACTCAAAAGATAATGGACACTTTTAGAAAAAAATGCTTTATAAAGGTAAAAATGCCCATAAAATGCAAAAATCAGTTTAAACTTATTGGAAAAGATTAATTTCTATCAGTATGAACTGACCACCACACAGAACATGAAGAATATTAAAAACATTAGGAGTCAGCTGTCTTCGGCAGTCCTTAAGGTACCAGCACAATAACACACTCAGCAAAATATCGTCTAATTATCATTATCGATAAAATCCCAGAAAATATCGAGATATCATTTTTTGTCAATATCGCACACCCCTACTCGCGTGCGCAAGTACTCTTTCGCTTCGCATGAATGGAGAATTACACACAAGATGATGTTGAATTGTCCGTTTGACAAGTATTCACGCAAACACAGTTGATTATGGCTTAAGTGAACGTAAGCAGTACGGAGACCGTGTATCAGTACATTGCATCCATTGCAGCTGTGCATTCGGGTTTTAAAGGGACAGCAGCCTAATTTAGTTGCTATTGTCCGAGTCATTGATGTTAATCAAGCAACAACAGAAATACAGAAAATCACTCACTGCTCTTGACTGGAAAACTTTAGTGGCCCTAAAGATTAATCTAAACTTATTTATAGAAATAAATATGTCTGCTTGAAAGAATGAAGAATATGGTAAACAAGTTGCTATAAAGAATGCATAATTAGCCTGTATAACCATTGGTATTTCATTAAAAAGAAGACCATGTTCTTGTTCTTTATGAGAAGTGGTTTTATTTAATTTTAACATAAAGGCATGTTGTGTGTCACCGCAGTTAAATCGGTATCATGATAAAACCTTAATATCAAACCTATATAATGAGTTTGGAAATTTGAGAAATGCTTAATAAATGCATTACACTGTAACTAAACCCATTACATTTTAGCCGACTAAATTTACTATAGATTTAGACTAAAACTAAATGGCATTTTAGTCAAAAGACTATGACTAAAACTTAATTTAAAATTTGCTGTCAAAATTAACACTGCATCTAACGCAACACTTTTTTTTTCAAAATATGCTACAATAATATTCCAGGTTCAAGTTAATGTAATAATGTTGATTACCAAAAATATTTCCATTTGTCCGTCCTTTTTTTGTTTATACAAAGTGAAATACTAGGTTAAGATGTGGTCACATTTAAGGTCCTTAAGTTGCACACGCTTTTTTTTATGTTCATCCTATCAAAATGCTTGCTACGGATGCGAAAACGCAGAAAATGATGGGCGAAAGCTTTCTGACCCTGCATAGACACTGAAATGGTTTATGAACGAAGGACTTACGGCTTTGGAACGACATGAGGGTAAGTAATTAATGACCGAATTTTCTTTTTGGGGTTAACTAACCCTTGAACCCTAATGTTACTTTAAGATCCGAAATGAACCTTTCCTCAGTGTTGCTGACATTTGAAGTGCTACATAAATCATGAGCGTAATATTGAGATGTATCAAAGCTATTGCAGCAGATTGCATGTCACCTTACAGACCAGCCCACCTGTAAGCACCGCTGACCTCTGCTTTCACGTGAGCCGCTCGCAGCAAGTTTCAAGCTGATAATGAGCCGTGTCATAGTGTGCAGTCTGACTCCACACACGAGTCACTGTAGGCAGGGATCCTGCTTAAATCCCCTTAACGGATTTGCACCCTCTCTCTCCTCTTTCACCTCTAGTCCTGTCAGCCACCTCTGTGGTCAAATCAGGTAGTGTATTTCTGATGATGTGCTAGTGGGCACGATCAAACCGCATTTCCCCATCATCTCCCAAGTACAGGAGGCTGTGATGGAAGTAAAAAACAGAATTACTGATGATCCCTTCAAACCCTGGAAACTTGGTTTGGAGAAGTTGGTTTGAAGGGATTATTTAGTGGAGTTTTTGGCTTACACTGCTAGTTTGGATTCAGTTTGATGGCGGCTCTGCCAGTCCATGTTGCGTCTGTATTTCCTTTGTAAGTCCACCTTGAATTTGGCATTGTAATTTATTTCTACACCTATTATTTTGTGAGCAGACCCACATTTTTTTGTTGAAATGTAAATACTATACTGCAGTTTTGGGGTTTTGTTCTTAGTGAGATTTGTATTTCCATAAGGAAATACCAGTGCTTGCGAGGCAGCAGAAGAATAGTTTTAGGTAAGCTTAGGTTTTAAGCTTTGGCTCGTAAATGAAATGCCACATCAGAGCTGCTTTGCTGTTGTCATGACACTCGGCGCGTGCCTCGTTTTTTGGCTGCTGTGCAAAGACGGTGTTGTGTTATATGTTGATTCTCATAAAGCATAAAAATGGCTGGTTATTTTGGTATTTTCTTAAATCGAGTGTGTGAATAACTGAAAGAAGACCAATTTAAGTGTCCATTTTCAATGGCAAATATTCTAACAATATCAATAGGGGATTATCAGTCAGCATTTAATGTAAAATGTCTTTAATTTGCAAAATAAAAAATAGATGGTAAAAAAAAGTTAATCCTTACAGGATGTTCAAATCAATTCATTCTTCAGTGTATAACTCATAAAACAGGAAATTGCCCACATTATTAATGTTTGTTTGGTTTTTAGTGATCTAGTTGCTAAGTGCCAATGTATATGGAATTACTCAACGATGAGCTGAGCATTTTTGCAACATGCTTATAGGATGTTTTATAAACTGAACGGGTGAAATGGGGTTTGCTGAACTAATCATATCTGCATTATTTTTTTATGTTCATAAGCTTAAATTCATCAAAAAGAATCCTGAAAAAAAAACGTTTCCACAAAAATTAACACAACTGTTTTCAGCATTGATTATAATGTTAATAAATGATAAAAATAAATG